AAATGCTTATTTACTTTTAAAACTTTCATCACATCTGTTGCAAGTTGTTTATCAATGATTTCTAGCTGAGCAGTTCTTATTTCATATGACTCATTCACCATTTTTTTGGTCCCCCATTTGTTCTAAAGCACCAAATTTCTGATTTAAACAAAACATTTTTATGTTTATTTATTTATTGAATTTATATGGCTACCCATCTCACTTGCATGTGACTCTGGATGGTGTACACAATTAAAACACAAACTAGCAAAATCACAAATCACAAAATCACAAAATTCAATCATTAAAAGCAATTACAGTAAAAACAGTTAAAAACGACAATAACAAAAAGACGGGAGAGTGCAGTCTAAGCTTATACACATGCATCCATTTAATAGGCTCCACACTTCCATGTGATCCCCAAGCCTGATGGCATACCCATGTTTTGAGGGCCTTCCAGAAGGCCGGTAGGGTTGGGGCCAATCTCAACTTGGAGGGGAACGATGTTCCAAAGGATGGGTGCCATGGCCGAAAAGTCTCTCTTTCTGGGACCCACCAAATTAAGTTATTGATACATTCAATCATTTTAAAAGTTGGTATATTATGGAAGAGAGTTTTTGAACAGTTGATGAGCTCAATTTAATTTTCGTTAGGGTTTGGACTAATTTCAGTTGAAGTTACCAACTGGTCTGCTGCCAGATCAACAAGGTGCTGTCCCTCAAGTAAGGAAGAAAACTTGGTTGATTTAGGACCTAGAATTAGTCAAGTGAGAAACACTGCTGGCTAGTACTTTAGGCAGGAAAATATTTTTGTTTGTCAACTAAAGAAAAAAGCAGGGTTTTTTTTAAAAAAACAGGATGTTGCCACACAAACCTTAAATTTCTAAATCAGAAAAAACTAAAACCTCAGCCTTCTCTACATTTAGGGAATTATTCAAGTTTCTTCAGTTCTACTTAATTTTTGTTGCTTCAATATACTGGAAATGGGGCTGACTTTAAATGAAATGTTCATAGAATCAGAAGAGATCATTTAGCCCATCAAATCCGATACCCTCCTCAGTGCAGTAATCCAAATTAAAGCATCCCCGATTAGATAGCTGTCTGGTCCATATCTAGTGCTATATGCTGTTTGACCATATCTAGTGAAGGGGAATCCACCACCTCTGTCTGTGCTTGATTTCACTGTGACATGGCTCTTATTGTAGCAGGTTTCCTTCTAACCTTCACTAAGAATTTGACTTCCTGTAACTTAAATCCATTATCCTGTATTTTTGACATTCTTGCATAATATACTCCTTGTATATTAGGAGTACATACACAAATCACAGTACTAGCTTTCACTAGTGGACTACTCCAAATTACTTTATTATATTTTATTCAATATAGATGTTGCTGAACTCCATATCAAGCCACTTTGGACACAACCCAGCTTTCATTAGATCTTTTTAAAACTTTCTGTATCTTCACATTATCTGTTATCCCTTTTTCGGCATCTTGACTGGATTGGTTAAAATTTGCCCCTTTTGACTGGGTGACACCTGCCACATTCCAGGGTACAGGAATGGTTGAGTCCCAAAGCCTGAAGGGCTTAACTGGGGTGGGACTGATGGAATGCCACATACATGGAACACCAGACATCAGTGGGATGCTTGACTATTGCAATGCATGGGGCTGCCCTTGAAGACCACCCGGAGGCTTCAAGTGGTCCAGAGTGTAGCAGTATGGACAGTAATGGGTGTGCCTTGGTATGCTCATGTGACGCCTCTGCTCTGCAAGTTGCACTGGTTGACAGTTTGTTTTTGTGTGTGATTCAAGATGCTGGTTATGACCTACAATATCAGGCCTCGTTATTTCAGGGACTGCCTATCTCCCATGGTGTCTGCCTGGCCAATTTGAGCTGACAGAGTTGGCATATTTTGGGTTCCTTCAATCAAACAATGTCATCTATCAGGATTCAGGGTGTGCATCTTCTCTATTGCAGTGCCTGCCCTCTGGAACAAGGTTCTCCCTGAGATCTTGATGGCTATCATACTGCTGGTGTTTCAGAGGGCCATAAAGACCTGCCTGGAGTCCCTTTCATGGGATGTTGTGGGTTGTCTGCCATCTCACTGTCTTGTTTCTTTTCTCATTTTTTACTTAGTTTTGTTATTGTTATTGTAGTGGTTGTTGTTGTCTATTAATTCTCATTATATTGTTTTAACTTATTTAGTATACAGGGACCTGCCCAGGTTCACTTGGAGTTGAGCGACATCAAATCCAACAATAAATAAATAAAAAGATAAGATAAGATAAGATAAGATAAGATAAGATAAGATAAGATAAGATAAGATCCCCACGCTCAATTTCAGTATTCACCTAAATTGCATCTACAAGTTTATTTCTTCTTTATAAAGTGACACTCCCTTAGTTAAAACCTTTGACACACACATACAAACACACACACTTATAGGTTCATAAACAGTGTATATTCAGCATAATAGATAATCCTCTGGATTAGTATGCAGAGGTCCTTCAGTGTCTACATAGCTTACTGTTTTAGGTTTTCCCTCACATTTAAATCAAAAGCAAGTTTTATTTTTTTTAACTCTTCTGAAAATATTATTGCACCAGCCATGGCACTATTATTTTATGAGCCAATAAATAAATAGAAGCATTTAGAACTATTAAAAATTTATAATTACTCTGAAAACAATAGTTATGACTCCTGACATTTAGAGATGACTAATCCATATTAAAATTAATGACTTTGTAGTAGTTAGTTAAATGAGCTATGAAGTTAACTTTCCAATGGAAAATATTTCTGTTGAAGCATCAGTTGTCAATATATGTGTGCATAACATTGATCAATATTTTAGTCACTGAAAATGGATTAAGTGCCAGTGGCCAATATGATCACAATTATTAACCCCACAGCAGCATACCATATGCAAAACACTGATATGAGGGTTATTTTTAGTGAAGAGAAGAATACTTCTTTACAATCAGGCTACAAAATGCTTTAGAAATTATGGACTGCTTTACCAATTAGGTGTTTCCCTGATGCTGAAAACCAGATCATATGAAATGAGCTGCTAATGATACAGGAGACTCTGTGTGGTTCTATTTTAGCCTTGTATCTCTTTAGAGATGATTGATATGTTGCCTTGCTTTGAGGATAAATTGCCTCTGAAAAATATTGCTCTTGGACTAAGAATGACTCAGCTGCCTTGCCTTGACATTCTTGAATAGATTTGCCCAAAGTATAAAAGTTCATTTGGTCATGTACTTTCTTTTCTTAATCCATATTAAGTATATCTCCAGACTCTCAAAAAACATAGCTGACACAAGTACTGTAGATATGAGATATGCCTTGAAGAAGACAATGTGAGAAAACTGAATTTCAATTCAGGTCCATTCTGACCAGTTCTTGGGGCAAGATGTGACATCTAAATCATGGCAGGGAAAACATTTTGCTAATACAAGTTACAAACTTAGAAAACATTGCCTACCCCTTCAATTTTTTGTTCCCAAGTAAAGAGTGTCTGTAGATGGATCGTGGCATTTTCACAGCAATATAATCTATATAAGGAAAAGAGAAGTATAACTTTTTAAAGTAAACAAATAAGTACAGACACAACTATATAAATATATGCCCTCTTATAGCATTACATTTCTCCCAGTTGTATTCTTCTATTATTGTAATCCAGTTTAGCCTGTCTAGGAAATAATATACCCAAAGATTTTGCAATTGCTCTTGAACAATGTTGTAGTCTATGAAACTAATAAAGAATTACCCTAAGAATATCATACTAGTTTATGTACTGCAAAAGGATTCCAGATTTCATTGGCAGAGCATGTAATTTCTGTGCATAAAAAAGAGTGGGATCAGAGAAGCAACAACCACAGTATTCATCTAAATCTTTAATTATAGCAAATTCTTAAAGCTTGTATTCTCTCTGAGTAGGTCTACATGACACAGTAGTGGAATTTAGAATGAATAGACTAGTCAGTCTGGTGCTGCCAGCGCTAGGTAGAATCTACACAGTCTGAAGTGAACCGGCCTTTCTGTAGTCTAGTGGTTAGAGCACTACAGTAAAATAAAGAGAGCATCAATATTTTTTCTATAAAGATCCAGAGTACTTACTTTGACCCCATACGTGCATTTGTCTAGCCAGTGAGTCATTGAGTAGATACACTGTTCTCTAACTTTCATTTCTGTGGAAATTTGTTATATTTAAAAAAAATTGTTCCAAAAAAAGCAACCATTATGACATAAGCACATCTGGCTTTTGCAAATTATTCTTTATTAAGCTTTCGTTTAATTATATGTGCTGAAAGGTCTGCTTTGGATTACTATAATTTTTTTTATTTGTCCATTTAAATGATAGTAAAGTTGGAAATTACATACAAACCACCTGTTTTTTCATTTGTTTTACTAATAAGGAAAATGTTATATAGGTTTATTTGTGAGAGAGGAATAGGCTCTTCCCTGTTTATAATGGTAGAATTATTGCTATTGCTACATTAAGGTGAGGTTTTTAAGACTGGTTGTTAAGGGAAAATTAAACCTATTTGGTTTGTTCAACAAACAGTGCATAATGTTTTAAGAGTATATGACTTAATTGTGCTTCTTTTGACAGGGATCTGTTCTCTAAAAAGTTTAAGAAGTTAAATATAAACTCTATAGTAATATTTTTACTAACTTTACAAACATTTTATACTTTCTTCTATATTAACAACTAAAAGATGGAATATGCAATTTCTTATACTTACTGGCAGAAACAGCAATAACTGATTGCTTCATGTCAGTGAAAAACTGCAAGGTATTAAAAACAAAACTGACCACTGCTGGTGTGATACCCAGACAACTCTCAAGTCCCCCCCCCCCATTTGGACCTTAATCTAGAACTCTTCCCTTCTGTACCTTTGATCGTGCTGGCTAGATATGATGCCCCATTTCCAGGAACCCCAAACACAACACCTGCCATTTAGGAATCTCTGCATCAGGGCTTCTAAAAGAGAAAAGCTGTTCTTGTTTTGCAGCAACTCTATGCCGCTCAGTTGGCCAGCATGCAGGTATCGCCTGGCGCCAAGATGCCTTCCACGCCTCAGCCGCCAAATACGACAGGGACGCTCTCACCAACTGGGATGAAAAATGAAAAGAGAGGGACCAGCCCTATAACTCAAGTTAAGGTATTGATTTAGTTTATTCTCCTGAATGCTCCAATGGTGCACAACAGCCTCTTGATGCATTGTCCTTTAGTGCTGATTCATTTGACATAAGGGTATATAAAGATGAATCTATATTATGATAAAGCAGGAGGCCATCTGGGATGAAACAAGGACAGGTTTTCCTCATTTTTAAGGAAACTGCTACTGTTGATATTACTGAAAGATGTGTTTATCCTGACAGAGTTTAAAGGAAAAATATTTTTATCAACAAGAATATCTGTTTATACTTTAATTCCACTAAACCATTAACTGGTCACTGCATGTTGTCGTTATTATTGTTGTTTAAGTTTATGTTCTGCTTTTTGGCCCATAATACACTCAGGAAGCTAACAACAATCTTCATGATCTGTCCCTGTGGCTCCAATATCTTGAGAGCTGCACTGGTTACCGGTTAGCTTCAAGGTGCTGATTATTGCTTAATCAACAGGACCTGGAGTGTACCTACTCTAGCTGACCTCACCAGATGGGCTGAAACATACAAAGACACATGGTCCCTCAGATAGCCAAGCCCTATGCCATGAAGGTCTTTATAGGTGATAACCAGCACCTTGAATTGCACCCATGCAGCTCTCAAAGCAGCAGGGATACATGCACATACTATGACACACCCATCACTACATGCACCATGGCATTCTGGACCAGCTGTAGCTTTTGAGTGGTCTTCAAGGGCAGCTGCATGTAGAGCACATTACAGTAACCCAACCATGAAGTGACCAAGGCATGAATGATTGTCTGAAGAGCTTCCTGATCCAGGAAGGAGCACAACTGGCACACCAGATGTACCTGTGCAAAGGCCCTCTTGGCCGCAGCTACCACCTGCTCTTTGAGCAGGAGTTGTGAGTCCAGGAGGATCCCCAGATTGCATGACAATCTCACATGGGGAAGTGCAATCCTATTAAAGACTAAAGATAGAATGTCCCCAGAACCGATGGTGGGGGGGGAGACAAACAAAGCCTCTTGGTCTTGTCAAAGATTGTTAACTGAAGTAATTTCATTTGATTTGGGAGCTAAACTTCATTTGCACAGTTGCATATAGTGTTGTTTATTATAGGTCTTGTATATTTTAACCTTATTTACAAATGTATTTATTTTATTTATAAATCAAATTTATACACTGCCCATCTCACTATCAGTGACTCTAGGTGGCTCACAGGTAAAAAACATAAAAACATTTAAAAACTATGACTGTTTTTTTGTAAAACAGAAATACAAAAAAAAAACCCTACAAAACTTCAAAAAACTACAAATATAGGGTATGTAAGCTGCTCAAAGTTGGTATTGATTGTACAGCATATAACTCCAATATATACATACATACATACATACATACATACTTACATACATACATACTTAAAATAGGCTCTAGATACTTTAAATCACTGTAAACCTGTTCAAACAATTTGAAGGGGAAGATCTTGTTTCCTTTCCTGAGAACAGAAAAATACAGATCAAACGCAGCTCTTGAGCAAGTCCATGGTATAGCTTGGGAACAAAGTAGGGAAAAGCTCTCCCCAATGTTCCTGACAACTTCAGAAAGAAGGGACATAGAGAGGGATTCTTCTGTGGAGATCTCTGTTTGGACAAGTTGATATCAAGATAAGCAGTCCCTCAGAGAGTCAGGCTGTAAGTCAGGGATGGGATGTGCTTGAGAGATCAGGGTTGCCACACAGCCTCCAAACCTTCTAGAGGGCTGCAGGAAGTTAATGGTGTCACTGGCAGGACTGGGCTGTGCTGAATTTTTGGGCCCATTTTTAAAAAAAATTTGGAAGGGGTTAAAGGTTGGAATAGGAGTCATAGATAAATCAGTCCTATCTCCTCCCTTAAATCCTCCTACAAACACCCTAAAGTTGCAGTAAATTAAACATTTGGGGTAGGAGGTTGGAGATATTTTTTTACGGTTAGTGATGGAGTGTTTTGTCTTCTAGGGACTATTTATTGCTGTTGTCACTATTAAAACCCTGATAAAAAAGGTTAAAATGGCAATTACAGGTCTTCTGAGCAAGTGTTGAAGGATTATAAATGGGAATGGGAGTCCTCATTCAGAATCCCTTCCCATCTTTAGTTTGAAAAAGAAAACACTCCAGAAGAACCTATGTAGAGTACATTGCAATCACCAAGACATGGGTAACTGTTGATGTGTCTGACTAAGCAAGGAAGAGTTCCAACTCATGCATTCCACATGTAGTAGTTATGCAAATTATTCTGCATAAGTCTCTCTGTACCACAATAGTTGGGGATTAAGGTATGTTCCTGGTAGGCAGACCTGTCCTTTCAGGAACATAAAAATCCATCCAGAGGATACAAAATCCCAGTTTTAAAGCCCAGTTACTTAGTGACCAAGAATGCTTCCACCTTGTCTACATTTAATTTCATCTTGCCTAGTCCATTATCCAAAGTAGGCACTAGTCAAAGGAATCAGATGGAGTCAGACAGCAGGGCTGGGTGCCATGCTGATTGGACACTCCAGAGTTCTAGATGACTATTTCCAGCAATTTCATGTATATATTGAATAGCATAGGTGACAAGAGTCAAACAGTAGTCAAAACAAATAAGAAAGAATAAGAACCACTGTAAACAGGGCCAAGGGCCACTATGGTAGTGAAAGCTGCCAAAAACTCAAAAGAATTAATAAGGCTACACAGCTCACTCAGTTTCCGGCACAGGTCATCCATCAAGGGAGCAAAAGCAGCCTATTTTCTGTCTAAAGCCAATTTGAAATTAGTACAGATAATTTGTATCTTCTAGATATGCATAGAGTATGAGGCTACCACTTTCTCAATCACCTTAGCCAGAACTGGTACCTAGTTCCCTGGCTCTTCCAGGTCATAGTAAGTTTGGTTTAATAACTGTCTTATCACTACTTCATTTAGGCAGGGATGGACATTCTGCTCCTACGAGGAAAATTAATTTCCTACTCTGATCATGAAGTCAGTCCTCTTCCTTTCCTTGCCAGAAGGGGTACAGCTCAGGAAAGCAGGAGATGATACTCACCACTCACCCAGTACACATTCACAAAATCCACAATCTGGAAAGAATCCAAAACTACAGAACGAGAGGTTGCCACAGTTATGACACCCTCTTCTGCCCTATTGCTTCTGCCCTAAAGCCACTCAGTCTTTATTAAGAATGCTTATAGTGGGTCTCTGATTGCTTTGGTTCACTTTCCCCAGATTCAGTATCGAAGCGCCATACCCTTGTTTCCATTGTTAGAAACCCTGCCTCCAAACGTAGGGCAGTGTCAGCCGCACATTTGGCTACCTGAAATAACATTCTTAGGAAACCAGTTTGAACTCTTTCCAGTTTCCATAGCTGACCCTGGATTTAACTGCACTGCATGGAGAAGTGCAGAGTAGATGCTACACAAGTAGAATCTCTATTTTGTTTCAGTCTTTCAATCTTAATAACATGCATTTAGAACTGGCACTGTTGGATGTAGCATTTGACCATCAAGTGAAATTTTCTACACTTCATTCACCTTTTCCACTCTTCAGTCATAAGTTACTGCACCCTGGAGTACCCCAGTAGGTATGGCTGAGAGAAAAGTTCTATCTTGTTCCCTCAGCCATGTTTCTGTGATACTTGCAGGCCAGCATTTCCATTCAGAATTAAATCCAGAATCAGAGAGATTTTGCCACCACCTAATCCTGGCATTAACAGCACCAGAACTATTTTTTTTTTCTGTCATTGTGACATCCTTTGCTAGGCTATAGTGAGTCTGAGATTGTGTTTGCTACAATAACATTTTTTTACTGTTTATGTGCCTACATGTCAGGTGTGGAAGGTCAGGAGCTCCCAATCTGATTAAAAACGTTTGCCCCGGACAATCTTTTTAATCTTCATTCTGTTCTTCATTGTCTAAATACATCATACCTTGTTACTGGTGGTCATTTTTATAGGATCACTGATTGTAGATGTTTATATTCTACCGTCTTCAGTCTTTTAGCAGTTTCATCTTATTTTGCAATTCTATGTCCAAGAAAGGGTATATGAGGAGGTAAAGAGAAGAGCCTAAAGGTTTATCAGTTTGGTTCCTAACTATAGATAACCTAAAAAATAAACAAGACCATGACTGAGAAGCCATATAAGCCTATGGTGCAGTTGATCTATTAAATCTTGTGTTTAGTGTACTCTGTGTAGGACATCACAGCCACAGAATCTGTAATGTGATAACGGTATTAAAAATATCACATTGTATTGCTCCTGTTGTATTGAAAATCCTGGTAGTGCTGCCTTTTCCTTTCCTTTCCTTTCCTTTCCTTTCCTTTCCTTTCCTTTCCTTTCCTTTCCTTTCCTTTCCTTTCCTTTCCTTTCCTTTCCTTTCCTTTCCTTTCCTTTCCTTATTCTTTTTGGAGAGATGACAAGTCAAGACAGATCCCTTCTATGTAATTTACAGATTGGCCATTGTACTGAAAGAAAGCTTAGATAAGAATAAACACTTAAGAGAGGGTAGCTGGAGGAAAAACAAACAAACAAACGGAGAACAAGAGGATGAAAAAAGGGCATCCCTGTCAATTGATTGGGAGGTTAAAAAAAGATGCCATGACTGCAGATTGATTGGACCCTTGTTGATATCTCACTGTTGCTGGTATTTGGATTGTTTTGGTTTGGTTTTGATGTACTGTCAAGAGCTCAAGCATGCTTAATTGTCACTCTCTTAGAACTAGGAAGCCACAGTGTGGTACTTGGCAGTAACATAGAACAAGCAAGCTCCTTTCTGGTGTTTTGTCGCAGCTGGAATTCATTTGCTTATTGAAGTCTATATCCCTCATCATCCTTCCTTCTTAAGAAAGATAACATTATAATTTTTTAACAAATTGAAGCTGAGTTTATAATAAGCATTTGCAACTAATATAAAAACACAGTAGGATAAAATTTCATTAAATTATCATAACCCCAAATATTAATAGTCAGGTTTAATCAGCAACAGGACTTCCCCATCATTTCTGTTTCATGATCTCCAG